TCTCCCTCTCCCTTCCTCTCTGAAATCAATAAAAAATATATTTAAAAAATAAAAATAAAACTCCCTCCAGTGTGGAGGCTTTTTAGAGGGTTTCCCTCCACACATGGGAAACTCGAGGAGGGAATGAGGACCGAAAGAAAGGGCTCTGGCAGGCATCCCTTCATGGGCCTGGCCGGGGCTCCAGGCAGCAGGCTCACACCTTGCAAGCCAGCTGCCACAGGTGCAGAGGCCTCTGTTTCTACAAAAGTTCAGTTTGAACGTTTCAGGCAGGGAACCAAGAAGGTGTCCTGTGTCCTTGCCTAAGGAGCATGACTGTGCAGCCATGATGAAGAGAGAGCCCCAGAGATAATAGATCAACCGAAGGACTTGTATACATGCATATAAGTACAACCAATGGACATAAAACTCTGGGGAGGGAGGGTATGTATGGGAGGGAGGGGGGCAAAAAAATCAATAAAACTATATAAATAAATTTTTAAAAAAAGAGAGAGAGAGAGAGAGAGAGAGAGCCCCAATCACAGCAAGCTCTCAGATCCTGAGCTGGCCCCCCATGGTCCGGCCATTGTGTCCCATCTGCCGACCCTTCCTCGGAAATTCCAGCTTCATGACAAGGAAAGTGACATTTCTCAGTTTTCTCTGAGGAGCAGTCATTTCCCAATCCCATTAGAATATACTGAGCCCACGGGTGGGACGTGGAGGACAGACCCTCTGCCCATCAAGGCTTACATCTGGGTGTGGAGAAAGGCAACATCAGGCAACAACATCCCTCTCTCAAGCACGGGAGGGGCCTAGTGGCAGGGCAGCTGCTGTTTGGGTGTTTGGGGATGAATAAAATGCTTTGGGCCATGGCAGTCAGAGCTATGGGACACCAAAGGAGGCTGGCCAGCAGTGCCTGCCAGCCTGGAATTCTCTCTCTGGGAGTATCCCAGGGGTCTTCAAAGAGGACCAGTCCTCACAAGGCCCAGAAACCAGCCACTCTGCCTTTCCTCCCTGAGTTATGTTCATCCAGGAGGAAGGTCTACAACTGCCCTGCAGTCTGCCTTACAGAGGGCAGGATACACACTCCTCAGGATGAAGAGGTGCTGGTGGACTCGAGTCCCAACATCAGAGAGGCACGGAGGAGCCCGGAACTCAGGCCGCTGCCTCCCAGCCCAGCCATCACAGGGTCAGGGGTGTGGGATTCCAAAGGATGCTAACCAAAAGAAACAGCTGTCATCTGTGCATTCTCCAGAATGAGCAGTAGTAACCTCTCTCTCTCTCTCTCCCCTCCACTACTCTCTCTTCCAAGCACATATTTGGGTAAGTGAGCCTGCTAATCCCATGCAGGCAGAATAATTCCGGCTGGCCTCAGCCAAGCTGTGTGAGAACTGTGCAGCCATCTCAGGCTGCAGACTGTCAGTGCAGCCGCGAGCTCAGCTACAAAACAGAGGTGAAGCTTGTGTTGAGTAGCCTGTGTGTGTGTGTTAAAGGACATTAGGGATGTGCTCTGTACCTCAGCTTCCAAAAAAAAAAATGTCTGAGCTCACCAGGGGAACATCCAGGTGGCCACCAGTCACCCTACCACTGGCCAAAGACATCGAGAATCAACAGGTTCTGGGACTCAGACTTGCTGACATGGAGCCAAGACATCACTGTCATTAAGATAGCTGGTGGAGAGCCTGTGATGGCTTAGAGAGAGGTGCAGTATCTGAGCTAGTGCATACAGCAGGTGAGTGGCGGAAAGTAGGGGAGGGGGTCCCAGATTGACTGAGAGAAATGTATGCAGGGACCTGGAGTCGGAAGGAATAGGGGGTGGGGGGTCGGCGGGGGGCTAGGGTAAGGTAGCCAGTTGAGGTGTGGAGTTGTGTGGGTGCAAAAGCTTCCCTTTCCCCGCGTGCACGCCTCAGAGGCTGTACTCACAGGAGAGGCCTGTATGGGGTTCAGAGCCTCACCTCCCCAGGGTAAGGTTCAGAGCCCCCCCAGGAAAGGGGGCCACAGGACCTGGTGCAGGTGGCTGTCGCCCGCGAGGGACCATAGGAGGGATCAGGAATGCACTGCGCCAGGTCACCGCAGGCCGCCTTTTGGTCGCAGGGTTCCCGGCCTGGAGCTCAGCTACAGAGTGTGATCGGCACTTCTGGGGTCGCTGGCCCAATGCCTGTCACCACCTCCGCCATCAGACCCCAGGGTTTTGCTCGCGCCGAGCGCGGAGCGGGCGCAAGGCGGGCGCGAGGCCTCGGAGGTGCGGGAGGAGAGGCCGCGCTCCCCGCGGGGCTGGCCCGGCATCTTCGGGCGGCGCTGGGGCGGGGAGACCGCAGGGAGGGAGGTGCCCGCGCCTCCTGAGCTGCAGCTGCGCGGCCCGGGAAACCGGACGGCGGAGGCTGGGAGCTCCCGCCCGCTCCCTGGACGTGGGCACCACCGAGGTCATGGAGACAGGGTCCTGAGTCGCCGAGAGACGCAGCGGGGAGAGAACCGGGGCCTGGAGCCCCGCGCGAGCATGGGCACTGTCCGTCCTGCCACGAGAGACCCTGGCCAGCTGGGAGCCAGCCCTCCCAGCCTGCCTAGACCGTGGAGAAGTAAAGGAAGGCGCGCCTCGCTGCCTCCTGGAGAGATCACTACCTGGGAGAGCAGGATTCCCCTTTCTCACACTCCGAAAATCCCTCAGAGGCACTCCTTCCTTCACACACACACACACACACACACACACACACACACACACACACACACTCCTTAAAAGGCTGAAAAGGGAGCCACGCTTGGAATCCGGGGAAGTGATGACACACACAACAATGCTGTTACACCTGGCTGCTGCTGGCCAGAAGCGGAAATGCCTGCGCGGGAAAGAGGGACAGAGCGCCAGCCTGGGTGGTCAGAAAAAAAGAAAGGAGACAGCAGTACCCAGGGTGAGGCCAGCCCCAGCTGCCACCCCTTCCCCCTCCCCCCAGGCCCTATGGGATGTCTTCAGCAGCCCAAACCGAACTGTCCCACTCAGCCTAGGCACTCCCGGAGTGAGGATGGAGAAAAACCCGCACTGCTGCTCAGGAAGCAGGCACAGAGGATGTGAAGGAGTGCCGCTGTGCTGTGCTCTATGCTTGGGGGCATCGGGAGAAACCCACTCAGCTATTATGAGATATTTTCAATGGCGGAGGGGGGAGGGGGAGAGCTTCCTGAGATGAGTTTCAGAGAGCCTTGCCCCCTCTTACTGCGGTGGTCACACCAGGCGTTTCTGCTGACCGCTCTGGAGGAACCTCACCTTTAGGATTGCTGAATCCCAAGAGCCCTATCCCCCTGTCCGCCTCTCCTTTAACCTCAGAGTGCAGATTCAGAGGCCCGAGTGGGAAGAAGCAGTTCGGGAAGGGGGGCTGTGGCTTCCTCAGGGGCTGGGCAGCGGGAGAGGACGAGGTGGTGACAGGCAATGGACCAACCAATCCAGACATGCCAGTCATGAGCACACACCTGCAGGACATCCATCCTGTCCGCAGCCCGGGCGTTTGGGGCGGGAGGACTCCCACGTCTCAGACAGAATTGTCGTTAAGGATGTTAACCATTAGAAGTCAGGCATGCCTGGCTTTTTTTTTTTTTTTTTTTTTTTTTTTTTTTTTTTTTTTTTTTTTTTTTTTGTGCCAGCTCGGACTTCCCCTGAGACCATGTCCACACAAGCAGATAGATGAAACTGGGTCCCCATCAGATTTCTGCTGAGGGGAGGTGAGAACGCACCCTTTCACCCTGAAGAAAGATCAGAATAGATGACAGGAGGAGCATTAAGTAAGTGCCTCCCTCGCCGCCTGTTTCTCTTCCTGTCTGTGATAGAATAGACACACCGGCAGCCATAGAGGCAGGAAAAATTGGAGAAAGATAATAAATCAGGGCGAGGGGGAAGAAGTGGAGGGAAGAATGGAGAAAAGAGAGAGGGCAGGAGAGAGGAAGAAGAAAGAAGAGGCAATATCCTTGAGCCACATTGACTCTGATGTGTGATACACAGATCATCCCATACCTATAACTGTTTGACCTCCTAACGCTCACAGCTCACAGCTTGTTCCTGTTTTTACACCAGCACACGTGCACGGGGGCAGCTGGTATCTCGCGTGTCTCCAGGACAGACCCTCCCCTGACTTCTAGATGTGATACCAGGGCCCTTACACGCAGTCCCCCCAAACCCCACGGCGGCACCCCCCCCTCCCGCGCCTCCGTGAGAGCAGGAGCAGAACGGAGACTAAAAGCATCCATCCAACCGCTCAGAGAACCACCACTCGCCGTCTGAGGGGGAAGGGTCTGCTTCCTAGGTCTAGGGACAGCTCAAGAAAAGGCGGAGGGGCTTCAGAGTAACCCCAAACCCCTCTCCCCAGCAGGGTCCTCTCCCTAGCCCCAGCCCGGCCCGATCGCCCTGGGAGCTCGATTTGCAGACCAAGCCGAGCGAGCGAGGTTTCTCCCTCCAGCGACACGCAATTTCTGGACTGATTTTTTTTTCTTCTTCTTCTTCCCAAAGCCACCGCGCAGCTCTCTCCACCCCACCCCTGTCCGGCCCCCTCGCCGTCCCGCCCCTCCCCCAGCCCCGAGCCAGAAGTTTAGTCCCAAGACGGCAGCCAGCGAAGGGCAGCCAAAGAAGTCGTTTTCTTTCACCTGAAAGCTCGCCTCTCCTCTCCTCGGTGGGGCCCGAGCTCCCCGGACACGGGTGGAGTGCGGTCGGACCCGCGGCCGATTAGCGGGGCTTGCGAGGACAGCGTGAGCCCCGCCGCCGCCCGCCGAGCCCCCCACGCTCCGCTGGGAGGGGGCAGGCCGGCCCGGGCCGTGCGTGCGGGGCGTTTACCAAAAAAGTGACTTGGCGATGAACTCGCCCGTGCGCGCCTGGCCGCCCGGCCATAGGGGCGAAGGCGCCTGACGCAAGCGGAACTCGGCGGAGCCCATACGAATCAGAGCAGAGCGAGGCTCCTGGCGGCGCACTGGGGACTCGGGGCGGCAGCTCCGCCGGAGACGCGGGTCCGGCTTCCCAGACACCGGCGGGCGGGGGAGGGGGAGGGCGCAGCGCAGAGACCCCCCGAGGCGGGGACTGGCCCGGCGGGGCGGGGAGGGGCGGCGGGCCCGGACGGAGCCCCTCTCTCTGCGGGGCGGATTCCCCTATGGCCAGAAGCTGAGCTCCACTCCACTCCCGCCGGCCGCTCCGCTCGGAGAAGGGGGAGAAGAAAAGCGCGGAGAAGAGCGAGCGGGAGAGGCCGCCCGCCAGCCGGCCAGCGAGCGCCGCCTGCAGAAGCGTGCGATCCGGCCTCGAGCGGACCCGTGCGCCCGCCCGGACTCCCGGCCGCGGAGAGCGAGGGCTGCCCGGCCCGCGGCCCGCGGCGCGCCGACCCCGGCCTGATGGCCAGCTACCCCGAGCCCGAGGGCGCCGCGGGGGCCCTGCTGGCCCCGGACGCCGCGCGCGCGGCCAAGGAGCCCGAGGCGCCGGCCTCGCCGAGCCCGAGCAAAGGCTGCAGCGGAGGAGGCGGCGGCGGCGCCGGGACCACAGCCCCGGAGAAGCCCGACCCCGCGCAGAAGCCCCCGTACTCCTACGTGGCGCTCATCGCCATGGCGATCCGCGAGAGCGCCGAGAAGCGGCTCACGCTGTCCGGCATCTACCAGTACATCATCGCCAAGTTCCCCTTCTACGAGAAGAACAAGAAGGGCTGGCAGAACAGCATCCGCCACAACCTCAGCCTCAACGAGTGCTTCATCAAGGTGCCGCGCGAGGGCGGCGGCGAGCGCAAGGGCAACTACTGGACGCTGGACCCGGCCTGCGAGGACATGTTCGAGAAGGGCAACTACCGGCGCCGCCGCCGCATGAAGCGGCCCTTCCGGCCGCCGCCGCCGCCCGCGCACTTCCCGCCCGGGAAGGGGCTCTTCGGGGCCGGCGGCGGCGGCGGCGGCATGGCGGGCGCGGGGGCCGACGGCTACGGCTACCTGGCGCCCCCCAAGTACCTGCAGTCCGGCTTCCTCAACAGCTCGTGGCCGCTCCCGCAGCCGCCCTCGCCCATGCCCTACGCCTCCTGCCAGATGGCGGCGGCGGCCGCGGCGGCGGCGGCGGCTGCAGCGGCGGCGGCGGCCGGGGGCCCGGGGAGTCCCGGCGCGGCCGCCGCGGTGGTCAAGGGGCTGGCGGGCCCGGCCGCCGCCGCCGCCTCGTATGGGCCGGCGTACTCCCGCGTGCAGAGCATGGCGCTGCCCCCGGGCGTGGTGAACTCCTACAACGGCCTCGGGGGCCCGCCCGCCGCGCCCCCGCCTCCGCCGCCGCCGCCGCACCCGCACTCGCACCCGCACGCGCACCACCTCCACGCGGCCGCCGCCGCCGCGCCCCCGCCGGCCCCGCCGCCGCCGCACCATGGCGCCGCCGCCGCGCCGCCCCCGGGCCCGCTCAGCCCGGCCAGCCCGGCCGCCGCCGCGCCCCCGGCGCCCGCGCCCCCCAGCGCGCCCGGCCTGCAGTTCGCCTGCGCCCGGCAGCCCGAGCTCGCCATGATGCATTGCTCCTACTGGGACCACCACGACAGCAAGACCGGGGCGCTGCACTCGCGCCTGGATCTCTGAGAGCCCGGCGGCGGCGGCGGCGGCGGCGAGGATGCGGGGACAGACGTGTGATGCCGGCCAGGGCCGCAGCCGCCACGGTCGCCAGTTCGGACCGCGTGCCCGCCCGCCGCTCGCCGGGGCCGCCTCCGGAGCCAGCAGCGTCCGGGGCGCCTCCGTGCGTCCTCGCTGCCCTCGGCTCTCCTGTCGCTCCTCTTTGTCTCCTTGGCTTCTTCTCCTCCAGTGATCGCCGCCTCCCTGCCCTCGATGCCCTTTTGGTCCTGCCGCCTGCGGGCCGCCTCTGCTTGCGCTCTCCGCAGGCCCCGGCGTCTGGGCCGGACACCCCGAACCAAAATTCAAGGCGGAGAGGAACTGCCCCGGCGCGGACCGCTGGACGATCGCTCCCAGGTCGGTGCGCTCGCCCTCGGCTTTGCTGCAAATCCTTGCCCAGAGGCACAGTTCCGGGCCGACATCTATCCCCAAGTCGCCGGGGAAAAGGGACGAAAATGTGTTTGTTTGCTCCGTGCCCTCTCGAAGCTGCTCAGAAGTCGCCCCGCAGAGCCCACTGGGCAGGGCAGGGTTTGGGCCCGAGCAGGGAGATCCGAGCCGGGAGAGCCGGGCGGCCTGCGCCCGCGTTGACACCACCCCGCTGCGGCCGGCGAGCTTTTGCTAAAAAAGATCGATCGGGAGAGAGAGCTGTTTTAGATAACATTTTTAAAAATATTTGTTAAGGAAGAAACCACACCGGGAAAATCGGCACAAAGTATTGTGGCCTTGAGAGTTCGCTAAAGCAAAACATGAAAATCTTCTCTTCCAGGAGATTGGAAGTAGAATTCCTGCCGGGCCTTCAAAAAGCTGTGTTCCGAGAGGTAGGAGAATACGCTCAGTAAAAGATGGTTTCCTCCACAGATTGGGGTATTTTTCCCCCCTCGCTCTATTTAAAATAAAATCAAAAACAAATTTTCCCAGGATCTTCCGATGCAAGCCCTGAGTGCCTGCCGGGAAGATCACAGCCTGCCTGGCCAACTCTGCAGGGAGGACTCATCCTCTCCCTGATTTTGTGTGAGTGTGTTTTTTTTTTCCCAAACGTCTTGCTTCTGGCACCTGGGGCAGCAGTCGGACCAGATGGCTCATGGCCCAGAGCCGGCCTGTCCGAAATTCCCAGACCTGGTTGTTCTGTAGTGTCTCGTTCGGAGGACCAAATTTTCTAGAGAGAACTAGAGCACTTTTGTTGTTTTGTTGCTGTTTTTGTCAATACTCGAATAAATTTCTTGTTCTTTCTTTTAACACGGGCTTCTGTTATTTCTGTCGTGCCTGCCGAGTTTGTTCAGCAGCCAGTTAAAAGAAGGAGGTTTTCAGCAAGATTTTGCCTTTTTCAGATAAACACGGGTGGATGGAGGGCAGCTGGGGAGGAGAGCATTTTTTTGGTTGCCCATACCGGTTTGTTTACTCGGGGATGATTGTTTGTTTTCCATGTCATCACTGGTCTGTTGTGGCTGTTTAACCTCATCAGAGACTTGATCTGCAGTGGTTTCGTTCACAAGGCGCGGTTGTAGGTAGAGTTTGTTGTGGTTTTTGCACCCATGCCTCGTTTGTATTTTCTTACACAGTCGGACTAGGTGTGTGGAGTGCTTTCCTTATATTGCACCTCATACTTCAAAATTTTTTTCCAGTCAAATATAACAGCTATTATAGATACGTTTATTCCAAATAGGTAAAATCCTGTTTGCAAAAAAATGCTCTGTAAGCTGAAAACCTCTATACAAATATAATGAGGGGCTCATTATTAATCATCATAATTCATTTACCTTGAGATGTGTAAGAAAATTGAGGGCATTAGAAGACGATGAACATACTGCCTGGCTGTAGAAATATAATCTTTTTTCTTTCTTTCTTTTCTTTTCCTGAGACTCTTCAAATAATTAATTAAAACATTTAATGCTACTGAGGGACCTCTGCCTGTTTGACCCTGCTATAGTCTGGGGCTCTAAGGCAGGAGGCAGGATTAGGGATGGTCCACCTTCAGTCCTCCCATCAGATCAGCCAGCTCTTGCTGCTGCAACCCCGGTGAAACTTGGGTTGGATCCCATATCCAGACAAGTGTCCCTCCCTGCCCCCCACTCTGAACCTGACAACAGTGGCCAAAGGTCCGGGTGATCTAGTGGACCAGGAGGGCTGCCCACTGCGGCTGCAGGAAATGAGCCCGCAGGCCTTTCACTTCAACCTATACTGATCGGTGGTCACTCCGTGGGGCCATTGGGGTGGGATCCTTGTTAGGAGTAGTTGGGCCCAAGGGGAAGTGGCTCTGGCTCAGGATAGCCCCCTCCTCCCTCAGGCTTCCCTGGGGAGGCTGGAAGGGAGAGGATGAAGCCACGGAGTAGCATCCCCCTGAGACTGGGACTGGAGCCTGCCTGGGCCAGGGGAGCCGGGAAGAACTGGCTGGAGAGAGACTCTCAGCTGGGGCTGGGCTTGTCTGTTCGTGCTTTCTGCGGTGTGAAGTGTATCCCAAGGGCAGCTGGGGAGTCTGTTTAACCTCATCAGAGACTTGATCTGCGGGCGGTGCGTTCACAAGGTGAGGTTGTAGGTAGGATTTGTTGTGGCTTTTGCGCCCATGCAAGTTTGTATTTCTTACACAGTTGGACTCATACTCCCAAGTCTACGCCTGCTGCAAATGTATGCATACAGTCCGAGTCAGTATCCTGGCGACAGGGTGGGAGGTGTGTCTGTCTGTCATTCGCCTCTGGAAAGGGCATTGCAATAATCCTATGGCCAGTACTCAGAGAGCGGCTTACGGAAACCACGGTGTGTGTTGTATTTATAAGTCATGGGCAATGTGTGCAGTTATGTTATGTGTATATAATCCTGGTTTGCTGAAGGATAACAGAGAATACATACAGATCCTTGGCCTTAGGTGGTTGAGGCTCTCTGTTCCGAAGCTGGCTCTCAGCACCTCCCAAGCGGATAAAGTAAAGGAGGCAGAGCCTTCAGTGAGCTAGGGAAGCTCGCCTAGGCCAGCACCAGAGGACAGGACCTCTCTCTGCCCCCCCCCCCCCCCCTAACTAAAAGTCAGGAGGCACCCTAGGCTGGGGAGAGCAGCAGCCTCGCCAAATACAAGTGATGGAATTAAGGAATCTGAATCCGTGTGGGATTCCTGGTCTACACAGGGATTGGGGAAGTGAGAGAAGGGAGCCAAATCATCCCCCACCTCCCCACAGATGCCCACAGTCCTGAATTCCAGCCCCAGGGGTTTCTCAAAACCCTATAGTTTTCTCATTTCCCCCCCAGTGCTAAAAGTTCAGGGCAATGGCTGACTTTCCTGGTCTCTCATTTCCTCTTTCTCTTCTTCCTCTGCACTTTTGAGTTTCTGTTACTGAAGATGACTTAAGGAATTCCCTAAGTAAGGGCAAAAGTATTTAAGAGAATTCCTGATTTGTAGCAATTATGCCTTAGCTTATACAGTCTACTCTAGATGGCTCAGAACACATGGGCATATGTATATATGTTTGCTGGGGTGTAGTGTAAATACAACATAAATAGAGTTTGATATGCACACTCTACCACCTTCTGCATGTCCTGCGTTAATGAGTTGCTACACATGGTATTGAATGAGAAGTATGTGTGTGTTTTATATGCATGTAAACATCCTCACATTTACACACAAATTCTTGGTCACCCCTGCACCCTAAGACTTGCCCAGTCAGAATACTTGGGTTTTTTAGGGTGTCCTGTTCTCAGGGGACCCTGGAGAAATCTTTGCCAGTGCAGTACATGCACCAAGTGGGGATTCTCTGGATGGCACCATACCCTACTCCAGAGGGTGTTCTCGGTCTGCTTCCTCCTTGCATAAAGTAAAGAGCTCACTGCCCTGCATGTCCAGTTTGGGTGGGCATGAAGGCTGGCATCTTTCTCCTGAGAGTAGGGTCTGTCAGCCCCTGCTGGGTCTCCCAATAGCAAAGGATGCAAGGAGCCCCCTGGTGGTAGGTGGCAATCAGGGGTGGACAGGGCTTCTTGCAGGCTGGAGGGGGTAGGAAAGGATGGGCCAGACCCAAGAAACTAGGTCAGACCCTAGAGAGTCTGCCTGTGAATGAGCTGTTTCCTTAATGGAGCACCATAACCACTGGGCCAGGCTCAGGAGCCCTGGGGTGCCCTCACTCTGAGGAGCTCATCCAGTGGTGACCATGTCTTGTCATTCCTGCTGCCCCCACTGGGCAGGCCCTGGTTCCTGGAGTCACCTGGTTCGTGGAACCTATGGGAAGGGAGGGGACTGGGGTCCCACACCTCCCCTATGTGACAGGGACCAGAGGCATGGAGTAGCTGGAAAAAAACTCCTGTCCCCAGTTCTCTCATGGGGACAACCAAAAATTAAAGATTCTTAAAACTAAGCGGTCTTATCAACATTCTACTTCCTGGGGAGAAGGCTCCATTCTGTCATAAAGGGTGTCTGGGCCCAAGAACCCCGAATCTCTTCATTTACATTTAAGGAAACTAAACTGGAGTCCTGAGAAGAGGTCATCTAGCTATCTATGGAGCAAACAGCCTCGGGAGTTTTAAGGAGAGACCTGTAAGCGCTGAGCCCGGCTCCCCACTTGGGCTCTCCCAGTGGCCCAGTGCCTGCCACTCACTGTAGGGGGAGCTCCGTGCATGAGGGGGGAGCTCGGTGCATGAGGGGGGAGCCAGCCAGAGATGAAGGAAGCACAGGTGGGCCGATTGTACCCAAGAACTTCTGTGTGGCTGGCTGTTCCCTGCATGGTCTCAGCTTGGTGATAAGCTCTGGCGCGTTTGTTCGGGGACTCTGGCACCCCGAGGATGTGCCTTTTGTGGGATGGGGCACCAACAGCCGTCTGTTCCGTTTGAACGAACTAGTGTGGAGCCCAGCAACCTCCTTTCATGACCGTGTGACCTTGGCAAAGCACCCCTGCTGAATTTTCATTTTCTCACCTATTAAACGAAACAAATTATAACACCATGCAGGGTTGTTACAATAATTGCATGTTCTAATGTCGAAATGCCTGGTTTATAGTAGGTGATTTTCCTTCCCCCTTTTGAAGGAAGAGGGGAGTGAGGGAGAAAAGGACGGAGGAAAGGAAGGGAAAAGGGGAGGGAGGAAAGGAGGGAAGGAAGGA